CACCACAATAATGTGCACTTAGCTCTCTTATATAGAAAAGCTGCATGATTTATGGGTCAAAGGAGCCCTGCCTTTTGCTTTACTCAAAGCTCATTCCACCCCTGCCAAGAGGGACAAATCTCTACCTCAAATGACTAAAACTTGGCTGAACAGCTTTTCACACCTCTAAGATGTTGAATTCTTCTTGTACTGAAGGCAAACCCACAGACTATTTTTAAGTTATGATTCCTTCCCTACATACTTGCAATGTGACTCGGCTACTTAATGCTGAACATTTACCACATGATGGCCTGTTCATGATATGTCAAGTGCACGATCCAGGAACATCAGAAAAATTGCCTTCAATTCTCTTCCAATAGCTGGTAGAGAAACACATTCCGAAGACACCATTTTGGATAAATGACAACATGGGGTTTAAAAAAAAAAAACAGTGGGAAGATAGTTTTTATACAAATAGGACCTTGAGGTAGTCACTGTTTTGCAGATATTGTTTCTACACTCTGCTGATATTTTATCTTTTCTCTAAAATGAACAAATAGTAGGTCTTGTTCAAGCCATTCAAGGTGGCAACAGAAGTTTCTATATTACTTAGCGGTGGAAAACATGACAAGCCAGCACCAGGTTTGCAGGGACCAAAGTCCATGAAGTGTGGAATCGGACAAAATTTTTGAATGACAATCCACCTCTCCCTACTTGTCATGTCCTCATTTCACGATTGTGGTTGCCATACAAGGATAAAAACCACTTCATTTTTCTACTTCAAGAGGGATATTATCCAAATAGTCCATCCAGGAAGAGCAGAGAAAATGAAAACCAAAATTAAGAACTGAACCTTTTAGAAGACACATGCAAACATCCTCAGAGCCTTCCCACATGTATTGGAATATCCCTTCTCTCTTGTAACTCTGTATTTTAATTTCTTCATTTATTCAATCTTTCTGTTGTTCTTGCTAGTGTTGAAGAATGTGTGCGGTAATGAGTTTAGGGGCCATTTTCTTACCATAAAATAGGTCACACTCTAGTTAAGAGAAAGGAGTAATTCATTCTAATACAGTGTATTCTGTGCTCTGAAAAGAACACAGATTCAGATAAATCAGACTATAAGGGTTTTCTGTGAAGGGAACATTTTGAAGTGAGTCATGAATGACTAGAATGAGTTATTAACACATTGTTTGGAAGAGAGTATGTACTTGGCTAAGAAAATAGAGTGAGTTTCCTAGTGGCCCTGAATGGAAGGTCAGTGTATTATTGGAGGTCACTTTCCAAGAAAGCAGCTTCTGAGACCAGAATGACCATGCATGGAGCTTATTGAGGGACTGAACAGGAAGAGATAATTGAGCTTACAAAGTGACCTTGACTAGTTATGGAAGTTGTAGGCATAGATGCTGGGGTGATCCTCTAGAGGTTGAGCATCTTTTTATTTCCACACAGACCAGTCACTGAATAAAAGAGATGCCCAAGGAAAACCTGGGCTTAATGATTCATGTCAGCTAAAAGCAATTCCAAGAATGTCTACAAAAATCTCTATTTACCAACTATCTCTACTGCTCAGTAGAGGAGGTTACTAAATCAGTTTGCTGCTCTTTCATCCTGGAATCCTCTCAGAGATTTGGTTTCTTTTGTGTCCACAATATATTCTTTGTGCAAACAGTTATTGTGACAGTAACCGTTTTGATTTCACTCAACCATGGGCATGGGGACCAGAAATCCCTTCAGAAGAGCTGTTTTGGATCATTTTTCCTTCAAAGGCAGTTATTTTCATAGGGGCACCTGGAGAAATATAGTCTCTACAGACAGTTTAGTCAGATAAAAGACCATCAAATCTGCTGCTGTGAAAAGACAGTGATAGAAAAAAATTACTCTTATCAGCTATCTAGTAGGGTTTCTTCTCTCTGCCTCTTGTAGGTGAGTTAGATCAGTAACCCTAAGGAGACCATGTTTTCATCTGTTAAAAGTCTACCAAGGCTATAAAAAAATAGGGGTGTGGTTTATAATATAGTGTCACAGAAGCAGCAACAACAGTGACATCTAAGAATTGTTAGAAATGCAAATACTCAGGCACCCCTACAGACAGATAATATATCTTTGAGACAGAAATATTGGGGTGAAGCCCTGTGATCTGTGCTTTAATAAATCTTCAGATGATTCTGATTCTTGCTAATGGGGCTTCTTTTACTTCAGATAATAAGCATCCTAAGTCAAATCTCTGCAAGGAACCATATCTATTCTTTTTTTAAGCATCAAAGAGAAAATAATGAATTTTTTCCTCATTTTAAAATGAATCCATATTCATAGCAGACATATCTAATGCAAAAAGTATCAGCAAATAAAAATTCTATCACCTAGGCAGTATTACTGTGGACATTTATGTGCATTCTTTTTGGAACTTCTTTGTACACTTTATTTACAGAAAATATGATCACACTATATTTGCTATTTGGCAACCTGGTTTTGGTTTAATCACTTGTTTTGCTCAGTACTTGTAAGTTTATGTATCAAGAATAACTCAGAAGACATGACCCAGGAATAGAAATGGATTTACCATATACTGCTAACTCTGCATCTAGTCTTTCAGAAAATGTCTCCAAGATCTCCAAATTTAGAACTCTGGTTTTAAAGTTGTGAAAGGGCACATATATTTAAAAATATGTTTTCCAATCTTGTGCAAGGTGGTGGATAATTATGTTAGAAGGACATCGACTTAATAAAATTCATGTTTGGAAAAACATTAGGATGTAGAATATAGGTTTTATTCTCTAAATAAGAGTTTTATCTGCTGTAAGTTTTCTCCTGTCAGCTCATTTTGTTCTCCTCAGTTCTTAGGAAAAAACATGTCTTGGATGAAAATATCCTTTCTTTAACTCCAAACTGCATAGAGTGTGCGAACCTGAATAAGAAAAGCCGGAAACCAATTATTATCACAATCATCACGATTGACAGTGACATTTGCACATGGGGTTCAGATTCGTGGTGTCTAGAACACAGGCAGGACTTTGAGTCAGGCCCACTGGAGAGGGGAGATTTATTCTGGCCTTTGGCAGCTCTGTGGCTTGCTACATTACATGGAGCAGATTATTTCACTTTAAAGTCTTGTTTTCACCTCAGCAAAGGAGATAATAAGAGAAAATACCTTGAAAGGTTAATCTGAGACTTGAGTAGATGTTAGGGGAACGATTTGTATCAAGAGTTTCTAGTTTAACGAACAAAGATTCTACAGTTCATGAGAAGCAATGGCAACCTGTATTTGTAGTTGAATTGTCAATTTGTAGGGGTCCATATTTCTCCTTCCTTCACTTCCCCACCTCGGCATGAACTTGAAGACTAACTGGGTCGGCCACACATTGAAAGGTGAAGTTTACTAAGACTTTTCCTTGACTGCTGGCTCTACTTCACTGCTCCCTTCCACTACTGCAGCTGACTGCCTTGCTCTCAGGTCTCATTCAGTCCCTCCTCCCTTTCAGTCAAATTCACAAGCATCAGCCAATAGTTAAGATGCTTATTTAGCTAGAGTAAGGACATGGAAGTGGAGTATATTTTATTCTTCAGCAAACTTTACATTCAATGGTAACTGTTATCATAAGTAGTGAATCTGAAGCAGAACAGGACATAAAGTAGTAAAACTGATGCCAAAATTTTGGGCCATGGCTCAGCTGAACTTGCTGTAGTGGTGGGAAATTCACCAGCTTCAGTGTCTCTTTTCCCATGATGATTTCCAAGAGCCCAAGCTGGGAAAGCCCTGTGTCACTGGCAGGGGCAGTCTATTCTCAGGCCACCTGGACCAAGAACAGGCTGGCCCTGCCCCCACACTCCTAACACTCACCTAACACTTCCTACCACCAGCAAGACTCTTTAATGCAGATTTCTGAAAAATGTGACTCTATACATTTCTTCACTCTACTTTGTAGCAGTCACATGATTAAAAATGAAAATATATAAACAAAATAAATAAACAAGCTCCTCCATGCTGTTCTTTTCTTTAATCTATCCTTCCCAGCCCTGCCCAAATACAGTCCTATGGTAATTTATGTCTAATATACTATTTATTTATTCATACACAATGAAGGTTAAATGTAAAATTTGCATTTTAATTGCAAATGTAGTATTTTATGTGCACTGTTCTGCATCTTTCCTATTTTTTTACTACTTTTTATTAGTTCCCTCAGCTTTTATCCCCCAGGTGAACTGTGCTCCTTTGTGTGAATATATCTTACTTCTGTTGAGTTACATGACTTTGAGTGGTTTCCTGTATTTTGATTTTATAGATACTGCTGCAATGAAAAATTGTAGGTGACTTTATACATGTGCAAATATGATTTTATACATATGTAATTCTAGGCCTAGAATTGCTATATCAAAATCAGTATGTATCTGTCATTTCAATGTGTATCATCATATTTTCTCCACAGCGATTGTACCAATTTTCAGTGCTCCAGCAAATTGCAAGAGTATTCTTCTCCTAAGTCTCCACAGAATACTTTTTTAAACCAAACTTTGGGTTTGTAGATCACCAATAGATTATAAATTGTATATTATTTACTACAAGTTTTTATTATGGTGAGTGAGGTTGAACACCTTTCATGTATTTTTTGTTCTTGGCAAACTGTTTATCTAGGTCCTTGGGTTCATATTTCTATTGTGTCACCTATAACAACTATCCAGTGTGTAGTTATATTTCAAATCTTGCTATACACGTTATCCCTAGTATTTCTCATGGTTTCTGCCAGTTGCTGGCAAATAAAGAAAGCACTAAAACAAATGTTTTAAGTAAAAGAAAGCATTATCACAGTGGAAACATTTCATTATATGTACAAAATCAATTTTATTTAAGTCATACCCATCTGAATAATCAATTATGAAATATGAATGAATCTATTCAATGCATACAAGCTGAAGATGGACAAAAAATATAGAGTGATATTGAAAAAGAAAATACAGGCAATACAAAATCTCAAAGCATGGGTAACTATAAAATAAAATCAACATGCTGTCATTTTATAATAGAAGAAATAACAGTGTCTGCACCCTTCCACCTACCCCATGCTTTTAAAAACTGCATTTGGCACCTTTTTCCACATCAGTCAGGGTCCCTTCCTTGCTCACTCAGTTTTTCTGTGAGTCTGAACACAAAGAACAGAATCCGCTTGATTTCTACTTGGACGATGGTCCAGGCACAGCTGCTGTATTTCTCATTTTCCAGGAAACCCCAGATTCTTCGGAAGTACATTTTTACCTGTAACCTAAGGTTCTAATTCCTCAAGGAGCCACTTTTCTGTTCTGCTTCCAGCTCTGTCAGTGCTTCTAGGTATTCAAGCTGTTGATGAAGAACAATGAGGAACATTTCCACGTGGCTTTCCTTCCCCACCATCCAGAGAAATCTTTGCTTTGAAGAGGCTGAAGATCTGCTGAAGCATTTCGTGCAGAATCGCTAGTGCCTGTCTGGTCTGGTACTGGCAAGGATTCACAGACTTCTGGGGAAGCAGGAAGTCTTTCCTGTGTGGTAGACACTGTTGGATGGTGGAGGTTTGCAATGCATTGTCAAGTTTGAAGCTCTCTCTGTTCACTCTTCTTTGCTGGAAGATAACCAGTTTAAGTTCTAGGGAGGAAAAAGTAAAAGAGGCTAGCAACAGCAACACAATTTCAAAAAAATACTTGCTAATCATGATGGTCAAATATGCCGCTTATCTCTGTGAAAACTAAAGCACCAACTTTAGTGACTTTGCCTTTCATGCAACTCAGATTGTTCTGGAAGGTGTTTTCTTTTGTTGGGTTTGCCATTTCACAAGTTCACATACTAAACTTTCTGCTTTCTTTTTCAGAATGCTTATTGGACATTTCCTCCACTGTCCCCATTGTGTTGGTTGTTTGAGGAAGTAACCAAAAGAACTTGTTTCTTTGTATGCATTTCCTTAAGACAATTACAGATTAGTCATCCAATATGTTCTTCTATTATTCACACTATATTTTACATACAAAGTTTCACACAACACAATGTGCTTTCTAAATATTTAGTCAAGCTTATTAAAGTTCCTATATTGAGAATAAAATGTTTAAAGGAGTAGTTATTCAGAGTAAAATTAGGTATTTATCAGACACTTCGTAGATCTATAAGGCATTTGAAGACAAAAACTGAAATTTCTGCAGACAACTAAATTTAAAATATCAAGTAGAATTGTAATGTTGCACAAATGCTTGAACGAATTAATCTTAAAATACATATTAGCAAACTTAAATTGTTTTATATATTATCCTAGCAGTTTAATATCTAAGACCTAGTTTACAAGAATAACGTGAAAGAGGAAAAAGTTAGCAAACGAAGACTATTATAGAGTTATTACAACTGCATAATGTTAATGACTCTATGTAAATCTAACAATAGAGGAATGGTTAAATAAATGCTAGTAAATTCATATAACGAAATGTTATATAATCATTACAAATGATAAAATTATGTTTGAGAAGAGATTGGGGCAGGTGGATAGTCTGTATTTCCTAGGATGCCATTTGTTTTTAGCTATTCATTTGTTTTTTTTTTT